CAAGGATTAATTAGGTGATGAGATTTATAAAGCACAAAATACTAAGGCAACAGAAAGCACTGACAGGATTAAGTCATAATAAATAATATTCTGTATACTGGGTTTAGTGAAGCTTAACTGCTTATTAAGCATTTGGACATTTGCAGATGCAGTGCTACTTACGTGCGAGCTATAGTCAAACTGTACATAAGCAAAAAAAATTAAAGACTAGCAGGATCCTACCCTGTTAAAGTTAAGGAAGATAAATATTAAATAAAAATCTATACAAAAAACCTGTTCAAAATCCAACAGTTTCTTAAAATCTTGCTCAACTTCCTTGAGTTTAGGTAGGGTGCACAAGGCAGCGTGAACATGACACAAACGCCACCCCGCCCCAGCACACAAAAAGCCCCAAAACCCGAGAGCTTTCTGCTCATCAGTGATCTGACTTCTGATGTGACACTGCAGGGGGTATGGCACAAGACCCAACCTGATGCACAAGGCAGGACATCACACTTGAGCAGGAACAGAGAAAAAGAGTAACATCATCCTTCCCCTTTTGGCATTAATCAGCTACTAAAATTGGTTGAACCATTTTTGTTTCACTTTATCCCAGCCTAAATTACACTGCAACATTCACTCAGTTATTTGTGCATTTAACTCTGAATTTCCTATAACAATAAAAGTGAATAATGTTTTGGTAGTGGTAACCTACATGAAAAGCTGAATACCACCAACATTTAAAAAAACTGTTGATTTTCAAGGTTATAGAACTTTATTCCATGACTCGAGGCTGGCCTAGGTTTCACAACTTCAGAAAGCTGTTAACACGTTACTCCCACTTCCTCAAGCACCACATCCTGACTGCTGCCATTGTAACTGGAATGTATTTTATTAGACTCCATCAATGGATAATAATCTCCTCTTCTTAATTCATCAGCACATATCCTGGAAAATAAACCTGGAGATACTCTTTGCCTATGCAAAAATAAAATGGTGAATGAGCGTTTGTAGCCACGCTTCATGGAACGAGCACTGCTCCCACACTGTTGAAGCCTGCTGACTGGTTCTGTGCACAACAGAGTCAGTGCTTGGAGTGTTCAGGATAATTTAGGCCTTATGACAAAATTCAAACTCCTGAAAGTAAGAGCAGCAGCAAGAGAACAAAGCTGACAATCCAATCACTTTCTCAACAGTCTCCATGATAGCATACTCCTCTCAATGTCAGTGAAGACAGAGACAATGCACACTGCTCTGAAGCTTCACATTGTGCGTTTCTTATTCCTGATCACAGCACATGCCTACCAGAAAGAAAAATTACCAGCATATATTTTCCTTACTCGTTGCCAACTCTTACACAAAAGCAGATAAGGAAAGCATTACTTTATTAACTCATACAACCTCAAAAAGAAGCAACAAACTGCAGAGGAAGCATAAAGCCTGACTTTTCAGGATTTTGCTTCTAATTAGGTTTCTGATATCAAATTAAAAGGTAAACATTAATAGAATAGCTTTTCTTCTTCTTTCACTAGAGAACTGTAACTCCTCCCCTCTCACCCCTAGTTCTCTGATGTTTAGTAATAGCTGAGCTCATACTTCAGTCTTTCCTGTTTAAGAAATTTAATGGTGGATTGCCTTTAAATAGGCCACCCATTTTCATAAAATATACAGCAACTTGAAAAAACTATCTCTCTATCTTGTATGCAATTGGCCAAGAGGTTCAAATGTTACTAGGATCCTCAGACAGCACAACTGTGCAAGTTACATTTCTTTGGCAGACCAACTAAGACATATGGCTCAGCTTCAATTCAAAGATCAATGGAAAAAAAAACTAGAACAGGACAGCTGGAATTTGCAAATGTGAGACATGAACAGAATAACACAACAATAAATTGCGGGGGGGAAAGTCAGAAATGAAGTAACGTTCCCCAGCTGACTGAAGCAACATATATTAATCTGAAAATAACGGGATCTCCCATCACACAGGCTCTTGCAGGCAGCAATCGCTCAGAACGGATTGCTTCAAAACAGTACACGTGTTACTGGGCAGGTGAACAACATGGAAGCTCCAAACACATACTGGGGCCTTTCCCCTTGACTTCAGAAAGATAATTACATTATAAGTGCTCTGCAAATAAAAGGAGAGAAATTAACTTTTACACAGGACAGCTAAAAGGCCTCTTTCACCACGCTGAAACAAGCAAAAGGAAAGGTTGGCAAGTGCAGGTAAGCAGAGATAAATGGTAGAGGGCAAGTGCACCAAACCCAGAGGAGCACCACCAGTGTTCCTTTTAAGGATCAAAACAAATAAGTAATACAAAAAAGCCAAAAATCAGGATCAGAGAGAGTCCTTATAGGTTGTCCTGCTGAGCAGGGCTGGGCGTGGATAAGATGATCTCCAATAGTCCCTTCCAGCCTCAACTAGTCTGAGATTCCGTGAGCAAGTTGCTTTTACATACAGACTGCACTGATTTTTTTTTTTTTTTTTGCAACCATCCTTTTAATTCTAATTAAATAGAAATAAGACACAGACACTTAAAAAAAATGTATCAGATATAAGCTACTACCCTTCAAATTTTAAATCTATAGAAAAATAAGGTGGTATGAAACACTGAAATAAATTTTAAAAACCTCCACATTTAGAAAATGCTTTTTAGGGTTCTAATTTTCACATCTCCCTAAAACTGGCTATTCCATAAAATTATATTAAAACCAGAAGTCAGACGCAAAACTCTAAAATGGTAACAAAGTGGTCAACATTCTAAAATCATTATTTCAGAATGCTCAAAAATGTGAGGGTTTAAGTCACTCAATTCTTCTTTTCACATCCCTGCTTATATTACTTTTAGTAAATCTGCAGTTTTCAATCTCAAAATATATTTCCCCCCAAACATCAGACAGCATTTAATGGATTATTTAAGTAGAGACAAAACCAGTAAGACTTCTTCATAACACCACCTAAAGCAGCTTCAGAATTCTACAAGTGAAAAGCACAAGACCCCCTGTCTTCCTGCATTAATTAAAAGGAGTAAATACCCTTTTTTGTCATAAGGTCATACACATTATCAGCAGATACATTTTTCATTACAACACAAAAATGTATTGGTCAGTGCAAACACACAAGGGGGTTAAAATAGCACAGAAACTGGGAAACTAGATAGTTAAATGCATATTTTGATCAACTGGTGAAAATTCTCATTTCCATAGGTAATATCCTCAGTCAAAAGCAAATAGTAACATGGTAGTTCAAATATTAAAAAAGCAATACAAGATACTCTCAATTTAAGTCATTTTTCTAAAGCATAGCTACGCCATTCCTCCCACACATACACTGGCAATCTTAGACGTAATTCTATGCACTATTCAAATGCTGCAGCTTATTTCCCAGAGGACAATAACATAATGATTTCTTTCCATATTTTCAATGTAAATTCAAAATTCAGAGTTAGATTTTCTTCATGCACGCCAATCACAATAGCATACTTAATCCTAAGGAACACACGTAGCCTACAGTGGTCTGTAAGAAAACGAACAAAAATTTCCAATGTATAAACAATAAAGGGAGGGGGGGGAAAAAAAAAAAATCTAAGTTGCCATTCTGCATTGTTCTGCGCATACTAGAGCTGATGGGTACAATGCAGTGCAGGAAGGAGATTCTCTGCTGAAAAGCCAAAAGCGAAATATGCTGAACCTTATTAGCTTTCCCCGACATTTCTTCCTCCTCAGCACATAAAGCATTACAGAGTCTACTCTGCCATGACTGTAAAAGCACTTACTTGGAACACTGACTTCTCATCTTTATTCTGCAGCTGTAATGAAAGTCTGAAAACCCTGTTCCAGACTGCTTTTTCCTGATAAACAAGGAGAACCTTCTTTCCTTGGGCTGTCTGAGGCTCTCGGTCACAAGCAGAAGAAATGGAGTCTAAACGCACAGGCTATTGAGAAGGAAGTTATGGAATACCCACTTTTGGCTCCTGCCCTGCTTGGTTTAAAAATCTATCCAAAAGCAGTATTTCCTGAAAAAGTGTCCTTTAAATAAGCGTGTTTATGTAACATGTAAGCTTGCATGCACTTTCTAGAGGGAGAAATGTATTGTTCTAGGAAAGTACTGACAATACCAGCGCTAGCACACCAGCTGGAAGGCAGACTTCTCCTTTCCTTTACTGCTGTTCCTTAATAACTCATTTGAGATGCTGAGACAGAACCAGCAAGTGTCTTTGTTTACAGATTATGAAGTAGTTGTTTATTTCTATCTATACCTCATAGAAATTCCGAGAAAGCACATACATGAACACAGCTGAACAACAAATTTTCACATAATAAAACGCTGTTATCTAGGCGTTACACGAAAAGATACATCACCAGGCATACAGAACCATACTTTGGTTACAAAAA